CCGCAACCCCCTGCCCCGAGCCCTCTCCCACACCCAAATTCCCTCCCTCTTAGTTTACCAGAATTTTTGACTTACCAGCACCTCCCATTCCACCAACATGCTGGATAAGAAAGCTTTTACTGTACATGTATAAATAAACAGACCCATCAGTTACCCTAAGGCCAAAACGAATAACCCAGCCACAACATGAATATAACAAAAGTAAATGACGCTCTCTATACGACCCCCACCAGAATTGCGCATCACTGCTAGCCAGCCCTGCCGATCTTCTTAAAGTCAAGGGAGAAAAGTTAGATCCCTGAAGACCAACAAACTCAGGCTGTTACAGATCAAGATGGGAAGAGAATTCCAAAGGCTTCAGTACTATATGTAGAACCGAATGACTCTCTTGGGTCATTTTCCCCAGTATTCTGTATAGAATACAGAGGGTTTTCTTTACTCTTCAGATATCGTCCTACTGAAGATGCGTTGTGGGGGACCTCTCAATGCTAAACTCTTTGGATTTAGAAAATTTTACGATCTTGCCAAAAAGAAACCAGCTTACAAAGAAAAGTAATTTACCAGCAGGCTTTATGGTAATGAGTCAATTACATTATTGCAAATGGAAAATAAGAATAGCTTCAAAACAATCCTTTCATTTCTTATCACCCGATGACAAAATGGGCAGTGTTTGGTTTCCTTTTTTCTTACTCTACACAAACTGGAGAGACTTCCAAGCTGGAATGAATGGATATTGGTGCCTGTTTGGTGGGGGACTAAATCTGAATCCATCTGTGTTTTACATGTATAAATGAAATGATGCAAACTAAAGTAATATTAGGCTTAGGGCCAAAAGCTAGGAAATGAAGGAGATTCTGATCCATGGTTGTTACAGTTTCCTAGACTTTGCAGGACATGATCTCTAGAATAGCACATTGCGATGAGCAGTGTTGATGAGCTGAATAATTCTTTAGTCAAAGGAATACAATCATAGGTGATAGAACTGGAAAGGTATCCAGGGTCATTTATTGAACCCACTTTTTCTTGTGCAAGTTGACCTGGGAGTGCCTATTATTTATTTATATTAGCAGAGTGCTTAGCAACCAATTCATGGACCAGGATCCCATTGTGCTAGGCACTCCACAAACCTATGAACTTCCTTAATTGTATCCGTATTGATTCCCCCCCCTTATCTAGTTGAAAAGAGCGAAGGAAAAAGAGGAACTCGTGTATACATGCCCAACCTTTTTACCATTCTGTGAGTTTGTATTGTTATCAGTCTTGGGATTTATTACTTGGGGAAGGATGGTTTTGTGATGAAGGCACTGGCTGGGACCCATCTGTCTTCAGTGGAAGTTTTGCCTCTGTAAAGATTAAGGGCTGGATAAATGCTGGATTTTTCCCTTGGAGTTCCTAAAAATATGAACCAGCAAAGGGACAAAATGATTTCCTAGCCTAAGCTCACCCAGTAAGGGCTGGTCTACACTGGGGGGGGGATCGATCTAAGATACGCAACTTCAGCTACGCAAATAGCGTAGCTGAAGTCGAAGTATCTTAGATCGAATTACCTGGGGTCCACACGGCACGGGATCGACGGCCGCGGCTCCCCCTTCGACTGCGCTACCGCTGCTCGCTCTGGTGGAGTTCCGGAGTCGACGGTGAGCGCTTTCGGGGATCAATATATCGCGTCTTAATGAGACGCGATATATCGATCCCAGATAAATCGATTGCTACCCGCCGATACGGCGGGTAGTGAAGACATACCCTTGCTCTTCAGTGATGGATTATTCCAAGCAACAAGGGGCACAATTAGCAAATCTTATTTCTGTCCTTACATTTCTCTAGATTGGGGGTAAAGGAGGAGGGAGAGAGGATGGGGTTCGATGCCATGTCTGAAGCTGAGAGGAGCATTTTATTGGTCTTTCCCCCCTCATCATTTTAACACCTTTCCCCCAGGTTCCTCTTTGCAGGTGTTGTCCTTCTGGGATTCCTGCCCAGTTGCTGTGAGCGTTACTCCTTAGTGAGCCAGAGGCTCACCAGTGTGTGGCATAAAACTCACCCAGTTCCTATGAGTCTCTACAGCACTGCCAGCTCTTACTGACTGGTGAAGTACGAGTTGATCCCTAGGTTTTTGACCCACTGATAGTGGACAGCAATGTCTCAAAGGGTGAGTCTACGCTGTGATAAAAGACCTGCAGCATGAGAGTGGCTGGCCCAGGTCAGCTGACAGGCTCGTGGGGCTTGGGCTCTGGGACTATAAAGTTGCATTGTAGAGGCTTGGGCTCGGGCTGGAACCTGGCCTTCAAGGCTTTGTAAAAGGGAGGATCTTCAGCTTGAACCCGAATGTCTACACTGCTATTTTATAGCCCCGCAGCCCGAGCCTTGCGAGACCAAGTCAGCTGACCCAGGCTCTGAGATTCGGAGCCGCAGGTCTTTTAGCGCAATGTAGACATACCCTGAGCCAGCCTTTATTATGGGTGTGTCTACACTGCATACTAAGCCTGCGTCTGTGGGATCTGGGCTTGTGGATTCAGTGTTTCCAAGCCCATGCTTGAGCATCCACACTGTATTGTAACCCTGGGTTTACAATTGCTGGGCTGAGGTCGCACAGCCATGCTAATGCGTTCATGTTGCACTACGCAGACCTTTTGACTCTGGTTAGTGGCTTGAGCTGTGTCCACACTGAAAAATGACAGGGCTTGGACCCACCTGCCTAGCAGGGTTCTAGGACCCAGGTCCTGAGTGCTTAATGCCCCAAGTCTGACTGATTTGTGGGTGGGTGGAAGTGGGGCTTGGGCTCAAACCTGAGTCAGATCCCAGGCTTAGAATATGGCTACACATGGATAAAAGACCCACTGCATGGCCATGGCTGGCCTGGGTCAGCTGACTTGGTCTTGCAAGACTCTGGCTGTGGGGCTAAAAATCTCTGTATAGATATTTGGACTCAGGCTGGAGCCTGAGCTCTGGGACCCTCCACCCTCACAAGTCCAGAGCTTGGACTTCACCCTGAGCTTGAACATCTAGACAGCAATTTTTCAGTCCCAGAGTCTGAGCTTTGCGAGCCCAAGGGCATATCTTCACTACTCACCGGATCGGAGGGTAGCGATCGATCTATCGGGGATCGATTTATCGCGTCTAGTGTAGACATGATAAAATCGATCCCCGATCGCTCTGCCGTCGACTCTGGAACTCCACCGCAGTGAGAGGTGGAAGCAGAGTCGACGGGGGAGCAGCAGCGGTCGACTCGCCGCCGTCCTCGCAGCCAGGTAAGTTGACCTAAAATACGCAACTTCAGCTACACTATTCGCGTAGCTGAAGTTGCGTATCTTAGGTCGCCCCCCACCCCCGTAGTGTAGACCTAGGCCAAGTCAGCTGCTGTGGGTCTGCCCCAGGTTTTGATCCCTGTGTAGGCATACCCGTAGTGTGCGGTGTAGACATGCCAGGGGGCCATTTTAATTAGTGTTTTGATAGCTATAGTTAAGGTTGCCAATTAATTTCCATTCTAAAGGCCTTACCGAAGAGTCACGCTGATAATGTTTTGAGGTTAGATTAGCTCTTTCAGCCTCAAAGCGTGTTGCAAAAAAAAAAAAAGTATTGCTAATGAGAAATAGTTTTTGTTAGTTTTCCAATTTTTCTGCAGGGGGTCACAACCGGGGCTGGGCCGGAAATGGTATTCCTATTTCCACAACAATTTTCAACACATTTTCCCCATCCCAACGCGGGGGACTGCAACTCTCATTTTTTTTTTTTTTTTTTTTTTTGTTCAGGTCAATAAAAATATTTTATTTCAATAATTCTGAAGTGTTTCATTTTCATTTCAACCTTTTCCCCCTTCTTTTACTTTTTTTTCTTTAGTGAAAATGTACTAACATTTTGCAACGAGGAGTCCTTTTGACTGAAAAAACAGAAGCTTCCCAGTTTGAGAATCTCTTGACCCAAACTGGTTCAAGCTGGGTGTGGCATTGAACCTGATGCCGTTTTTGTGAACCGTTTCAGTTGCAAAGAAATGGCATTTTAGGGTGAAAATTTCCCAGCCAGCTCTAGTTGTGATGCATCTTGAATGTGCTTCCTGTTTCTCCTGCAGAGCATAAACTGTTGCAGTCGAAAATGCTAAACAACTAATGTCAGATGCACCATAAACCACATAGTGGGAAGAACTGCCCTCTCATTTTTGATACCTGGGGCCAAATCCCGATCCCATTCCCATTGAAACCTGTGGCAGTTTTACCATTGACTTCAATGCGACTAAGAATTGGCCCTTCTGGTGTAAGGACTTAGGGCCACATCTTCCCCCTCCCACGTTTATTAAACCACGATCGCTAGTACGGTGGCATGGGAGGTGTTAGCTGAAACAATGATCAGATCACCCCTTGGGAGTGGGACTCAACAGCACTGCAGAAGGGATAGAGGGCTGGCCAGGTAAATACTCCTACAACACCAAGAACCCGAGCCCTATGGACTCTTGGAGCATACATGTGTTTGTAGAGTGTGTCAGAAAGGGGGCGGGGAAAGGGAAGAATTGCAATAATTTCCACAAAGTTTCATTTAGTTTTGTTCAAATGTTGTTGGTGTAAAGTTTTCCGTCCAGCTCCAGTTGTTTCCCTGCTTTCACAGGGCTCTGGGCTTCCCTAGCCGTGGCAGTCCAGCTCAATAGCTCTACTGCTCGGCTGCCACGGGTTGCCCTATTCCCTTCCCCTGCGTCCACGGGATCCTTCAGCTGGGTTTTCACATGGCCTGTGGGAGGGGCTAATGTCGCCCACGTCAGCTTTAATGTCTGCAAGGTTTCAGCATATCCAAGGCTGGTTTTCTTGGCTAGACTTGCCTAGACACAAAGGATTTTCCTTGATTCCTCTTCGGGGCGGCTGCGTGCAATTTGTGGCTGTCATGTAAGCAGCACAGAACTGGTGGCAGTTATGTGATGCCGTGGTATGATTCCTCCTGGTCACACTTT